TAAAGGTCTTGGAAGTCTTTTCATTTAGCCCATCTCCCAAACTTCTTTGATCATGGAACCCATGTTGATTATTTTCATGTACCTTCTTTAGAATTCAGGTTCCACGGAACACTCTTGGGAAGTCCAGGCTTATCCACCCTGGAGGGGGATTTTGAGTCACAGTGGCTCTCTACAGAACCTCATAAATGCAGTTCTAGCTGTGAGCCTGTCACCAAGGTGATCACCGACATCAGCAAATTCTCTTTTGTCACAATGTGACAGTATCTTTCAACTTCCCCTTACTCCTGAATGTCTAAACAACATATTTGCCATCACCATGGTTGAGACCCAGACCTCTGCAGAGACAGTCTTGATCTTCCAGCTCCTGTTTCACACTGCCAATGTCACCCTCAGCACTGAAATCCTTACCCCAAGCACTGGGAATTCAGGCCGTGGAAAATTTGGAGGCTCACAGCAGGTTGCTTTGCCCTTTTTTTCCCTATCCCCTTTTTTTGGCATTTTCTCCTGGGTCTCTCAAAGGCCATCTAATTCCTCTCTTTATCATATGTATAGATTTTGGGAACTACTTTGTTCCCTAAGCATGCCCCTCAGAGGTCTTACCCTTTACCCCCAGCAGCTTATCAAAGTATATCTGTCAAACTAGCGAATGGTCCTCCAAGAAGAATTCTGATTACATTTTCAATGTCGTTGTTATGGAGGCTTTATCTTCATAAAGTGGGAAGATGCCAATAAAGGGTTCTTGTTCCATGAATGTAAGCTCCGCTTTTATCTCTCTGTTGGTCTAGAAATGTGGTAATCAACCCTGGTTGCAATAACAACCTTGTGAGCAGCCTTCAAAATACAGATATCTGGATCCCAATTTTCGAGATTCTGATTTAAATGATGGAGTCCATGCATCAATTTTTCTTAAGCACAAAGCAATTCCATTGTGTGCATATCAGACTACAATACCACTGATTGAGAACATGGAGTCAATGGAAGTAGAAAATGCCATTCATTATCAAATCACCATAAAGATGAAACAACTATTTCCCTGATAATACACCTCATCACCCAAGTACCTACTCAGCTATTCTGATCACCCACAGCTCTTCAGATACAGCTTTTCTTCCAGTTGCTTGGAAAAGTGTGATATCTTAATAATTTATTTCTGCTCCTGCCCATTGATCTCCAAGCATGTGAGAATGGGAAAATGAGGAATCTGTAGGTGTTTTACTGATGGATGTCTTGGTATGATGTTACACTTAAAATTTACAGCTGGGGATGGATTTTCAGCCAGCTTCCATGTGCCCAGTCAAGGGCATTGGTGACTGGCTCCTACTTGCAGACAGCTGGTATAATTTGCCCATCTCAGAGGTGTGGGGAGGCAGAGTCTATCAGAGATTGTTGAAGGTAGCTGCAGTAATATGCAAAGTGAGGTGCTGAACAGGAGTGATAGGGGTCAAGGCAGCTCAGTAAGACAAGAGGGCAAGCAGTCCTACATCTTGTCCCCAACTCACTGTTCTGAACTGCCAACCCATCTTCCCACTTCTGCCTCAGGAGCAAGTTATCCTACAAGGTTCAGGACATATGTCACTTCCTGATTGAAGCCTCCTCTCCCTCCTTGGTGTCTCCATACACTCTGCTTAGACTTCACATGATATCATGTGTTTTCCTACTAGATTCTGAACTCCCCAAGAGCAGCAACCCATATCTTAACTCTCTTTTCATCAACAGAGCCCAACATAATGCCTGGCACAGAGAGAGCCTCAATAAATATATCTATGATACAAATTTTCTGATAAAATGTCTATGGTATCTATTGTCTATTTCAGAATGAGTTCAAGAAATTCAACATCTCTTACAAATCTAGGTGATTCACTTAACAGAAAGAATGGCATTACCACATTATTGGTGTGCACAGACGATAAACCTCAAGCTCTGCTTTGACGATACAACAACTCTAACTCTTATCTCACTTGGGAATGGGGGAAAATGATGACCAAATTGAAGGCCACTAAAAACGTGGTAGGGAGGAGAACCAGGTACAACATCATTTTGTTTAATCAGAATGAAGATGAAATCTCTTTATGCATAAAGATATTTCAGTGCCTTCTCATCCCCTGAAAGTGTTGAGCATTTTCTTAAAAAGAGATTTCTCCTGTTTCCAGCTCGTGCCCAGGGTTCTGGGAATCAGCTAACCCTGTTGCTTCCCCTGCTTGCCTGTGCTGGAAATCTCAAAGGAGCTCAGGGAATCTAGGCCTTTGCTCGCTTGTTTTCAGGAGGCGGCTGAGAGTAACTGCTCTTGAAAACTTGAGCTAGATAAATTCATTATGTTTTCTTACCAGATGTAATGCTCACACCCAGAGATGCTAAGTCCAAATCCCCTCAGAAGTCAGGCAGGGAAGGAGAACATGTGGAGTAACACTGTCATCATTGACAGGAACTGTGGCAAGTGAGGAAAATGCATGCTCTGTCTAAAGATATTTAAATTCAGATTTTTTCTGGAAGTTGAGCCTGCCAAACAAAATACATCTCTAGCCCAATTTATTCAGAAGTCCTAAGTTTTTAATTTGCATATGGCCACTTGGCTTCCTCTGCATTCCTACCCCATACCTCTATGTCATTTTTTCCCCTTGACCTGAGAATAACTGGGAGTGAGGTGCAGGCAGAAGATGTGGCACTAGGATATGTTGTACCTGAATGTTTTGAGGGCAATGATAATTATGCGAATTTTTGAGGGGAATGTTTCTTAACTGCATTGAAAGACTTGGCACAAGAAAATGAGACTCTCACGATGGCCAACTGCCAAGTAAAAACACTCTTAAAGAGTCAGAGTGTTCTATGGCAACTTTGAAAGAGACTCACTTCCTGCAGACTGCTGAAAAGCAGACCCAGCATCTAGTTTTCAGTGTAGCAGAGCTGCACAGGTGACTCAAGGCATAGTCTCAGCGATCTCATCTGTCAGAGTTAATGCCCTATTGGGAAAAGAGTGGGACCCCTAACTTGAATTAGGGATATTTGGATTGGGTAAATTATCCTGAGAATTCTGAACTCTGAGATGTCCCTGAACTCCCTAGGAGGGCAGAAGCAACTGATTCCAACTTGCCTGAGGAGAACAGTCTCCCCTTTCCTGGAGACAATGAAATGACACCACTTAAGGCAGGTGCTTTGCAATATGGCACTAGTGCTCTTCCAGAGCCAAGTCTCATTAGTGCCAGGCCAATGACCAGAATCAATTGTCAGCACAGTCTGATTAGGGAAGTACAACCTCTGCTCCAGGAGGAATAGCCTATACTGAAAGGGATTTGCAGGACCTGGAACACATGTGGAAGGAGACCTAGAGGGCATTGGCCTGGAGTGGGAAGACAGATATAAAGCTGCATAGGGAGCATTTTCATATTTTGTCTGCATGGCAGACAAAATATGGTGCCTTTAATGAAGAAGATCAACCCAGTCTTTGGCATTTTATATGCAGCTACTAATCTGGAAACCACTTTTTTTTTTTTTTTAAGTCAGGGGTAGGCAAACTATAGCTCATAGGCCAAATATGACCACAGACTACAAAAGCAGAGTTGAATAATTACAACAGAACCATGCGGCTGAAAATATTTATCGTATGACCCTTTACAGAAAATGTTTATTGACTAGATTTCCACGGGCAAAAATGATTAAAAGAAATCTGTCTTTACATTTAGAGGGACAACTCTGCATACTCACTGTTTCACTGTTTTGTTAACTCTCCTGTTCCCTGTTGTAATATAATAGGTAGGGATTTCCATCATCTTGACCTTCTGCAAAACCTCACAGTATCTGACTTGTCTGCTGTATTGATGATGCCATGTTTACTGGAAATGTTACTACCCTAGGTGACCCAGTAAGATACATGCGTATCAGAGGGTAAGAGATAAACCCAATGAATATTTAGGTTCCCATGATATTGGTCAACTTAGAAGATATCCAGCAACCCAGAATATATTAGGACATTCTTCCAAAGAAATAAACACATTGCTCTACTTGCAACTCTCACCACTAAGATAGAGGTACAGTGCTTGGTGAGTGTTTTTGAATTTTGGTTGAAGAGCAGACTGCATTTAAAAATACTGCTTTGGGCCGGGTGCGGTGGCTCAAGCCTGTAATCCCAGCACTTTGGGAGGCCGAGGCGGGTGGATCACGAGGTCAAGAGATCAAGACTATCCTGGTCAACATGGTGAAACCCCGTCTCTACTAAAACTACAAAAAATTAGCTGGGCATGGTGGCACATGCCTGTAATCCCAGCTACTCAGGAGGCTGAGGCAGGAGAATTGCCTGAACCCAGGAGACGGAGGTTGCGGTGAGCCGAGATCGCGCCATTGCACTCCAGCCTGGGTAACAAGAGTGAGACTCTGTCTCAAAAAAAAAAAAAAAAACAATAAAAATACTGCTTTGGTCTGTATTCTGGGAGATATAGAAGTTTTGCCTGGGGCACAGTTAACAGAAGGCTCTGCAGGAGCCTTCTGCAGAGCCAGACTATTGGACCACCACACTCAATAGATCTAATCATGATAGAGCTCTCCATGATGAAGAGACTGTAGGAAAAGAAAATCTCCTTCAAAGTTGACAAAGAGTTATCTGGCTTTTGCAGACTGCTATTTCTTTTGCAGCTCCTGGAATGCTACTGGATATTTGTAGAGATTGAATGCCTGGTTATAACATTACAAGACACCAAGTGTGAGCTATTTCTGAGTCCATTTAGTGTTGCTATAAAGGACTACCTGAGGCTGAGTAATTTATAAAGAAAAGAAGTTTATTTAGCTCACTGTTGTGCAGACTGTACAAGAAGCATGATGCCAGCTTCTGTTTCTGCAGAAGGGCCCAGGTTACTTCCACTTATGGTGGAAGCCTAAAGGGAGCCAGCATGTGCAGAGATCACATGGCAAGAGAGGAAATGAGAGAGAGAGAGAGAGAGAGAGAGAAAGGGAGAAAGAGTGAGAGAGAGAGAGAGAGAGAGAGAGAGAAAGAGAGAGGAGGTGCCAGATTCTTTTTTTTTAAGCTCTAGATGTTTATTACAAAACCCAAACCCTTGTTACCTTGAAGAATCTTTACACATTTACGTAATACACTGTATATTTTATGCATGGCCTGTTTATGCTGTTTTCAAGAAGAGAATATTGTTTTAAACTATTAATAAACCAAAATTAATTGATAGGGCTGCATCAATCTGTCTTCCTTCTTTGGTCCATGATTTCCTTAAATGATGGCGTCATGTTCATCTATGTTTCTATACCGAATGCCTCTTCTTGAGTAGTACATTTTGCATCCAATGTAAAGAATAGATAAAACTCCCAGCATTAATACAATACCACCAACAAAGCTCCCAGTATCACATTTGGATCCTTTCTTTGCTTCAGAATGCATAGTTGCTGTAATTGTTACTGATGAAGAAACAGATGTCACTGAACTATTGTGGGCTATGGTCATCGTGGATGTTGCTATCTGAGATGTGTTTGTTTTGGGTGTAGACTTGAAGATGGCAGTCCTATTTGCTGAGACCATCCTTGGTGTTGTCCTGTTAGTTGCTGCTGTGGGTTTCATGGTGGTGACTGTCTAATTGCTGGGGACTGAGGCAGCTGGAGTTGGTAGTCTCATAGTGCTGTTGGAAGTTTCATTTGCATGGTCAGAAGGCACATGTTGGAGAGTCTCTGTTGAGTTAGCACTAGAGTTGTGTGGAGGCACAGAATTCTCTATGTTTGCAGATGTTGCCGAGGTTGCGCTGTACTCCAGGGCGGCCCCCAGCAGCGCCAGCACCTGCAGCGTCCCCAGGAGCAGCGCAGCCCAGGCGCGCCGAGTCTCGTGGGTCCCAGCCGAGAAGGCAGCAGCGAGAGCGGCTCATCTGCGCAGCCCGCGCCGGCTCCGTGTCCCCTCAGGCGGCGCACTTCTCCCCTCCCGCCACTTCCCCCCCAATGACCAAATAGGGCGCAGGAGCTGGGCCTGGAGGGGGCGTCGCGTGCGCAGCCGGAGCCACAAGGCCGGGCGGGTGGCGCGGGGGCGGGCTCGGGGTTCTGGGCGTGGCGACGCGGCTCCTGGCCTCGCTCTCAGGCGCGCGCCTGGGAACCCCAGAAGCCGCTTCCTTTCTTTTCAGAAACTGCGGTTTTGTTGTCCTGGATGAAGGCGAGCGCGGCTGCCTCTCCGAATGCTGAGCACGCGGGCTTCGCGATGCCCGTAAGGAAGTCTTTGAAGAGTAGTTTTGCCGGCAGGGAGGTTACGGGGTGCGTGCGGCTCAGAGTGAGAGGGTGGAGCTGCAGGGCGGGGGCGGCAGGAGGGGGAGGTCCCGGAGAGGAACTTCAGTGGATGCGATTCACTCTTAAGGAGTCCTGGGCGGTTGGAGCTTCACCCTTGCGTGACCCAGCCTAAGAGGGAAGTGGAGATTCTTTTTAACAACCAGCCCTCATAGAAACCAAAAAAGCAAGAATTCACTCACTACTGACAGAATGGTACCAAGCTATTCATGTGGGATCCACTCCTTAGAATCCAAACACCTCCCACTTGGGCCCACCTCCAACATTTTAAATCAGATTTCAAGATGAGATTTGATAGGAGCAGATATCTGAACTAGAGCAAGCTATATATTATTAGGTACACTGAATCATAGATTGGGTTAGCACAGCAGCAATCCATTGTATTATGGAATGTTGTGTCTGGAAATGGGCCTGAGACAGGTCCAAAAGGCAAGAGTAAATTGCATGAAGAGTGACACAGATTTGTATGTCATCTGCTTCGATTGCTCTGATATCTTTTATCTTATCTTTCACTTATGGTTTATAGGGGATTCCCTATGACCAACTGATAGAAAATTGAAAAAAACCTCGGGCCTGGCTCACAAGTGTGTCAACAGATGCTAGTCAAAAATACACTGCTGACATATTATAGATCCACTTAGAGGTATCTCTAAAGAGCAGTGGTAAAAGTAAATTAGCCAGCAGGAAAGTGGTGATCAGTAAATTTGATCATCCACTTTGCATGAATGACTGGTGGGGAGTCTGGAAGGAACCAAATTAGAAAACTGGGGAATGATGAATGGTGAGGTCACAGGAAGAGGCACATAGATTGACCTATAAAAATGAACACAAATTTTGCAGCTATTACTACCTGCCAGAGAACAGTCACCACCAAGTCTCTCAGTAACCAGTGGGGAAGGCTAATTCATCATGTATGTCACTTCATTTCTCTCTCATTGATTGCTTCTATGCTGGACAGTGGTCCCAAGAAAAGGGTGGTTGCATGGCAGAGACAAAGGTTTGCATGAACTCCTTCTAGTCTAGCTAATGATACTCTTGAATGCTCAATTCATCAACAGCAGAGATTGAGGAGATCAGCCAGCCTCTTGGTATCAGGTGGATTACAATTAGACGTCTTCTACCCTGGGGTGTTGGGGAGGACAAAAATTTGTCCTTATAGGAATTAATCCTTAATGTGACTATACCCTGGGTTTGCCCTCTTTGTCTGTAGTACCTCCACTGGCTTACCATCCAAAAGTTTTTAGAATACTTGACTTATCAACATATATTTCACACGACATTGCCACACACCAAGGGAACTCTTTTATAAGAGGCAAGATAATGAGTGCATGAAACAGGATCTAATAATTGTTCCTTGTACCCCATCACCCAGAAGCAGCCATCCTAAGAGAATGGTAGAAATCGTATTAAAGGTCATTAAGATTCGAGTTTGGGGACAACACATAGCAGGGTTGAATGTGGTCTTCCAGGATATGGTATATACATTAATTCAATGACCAATATATGGTTTTGAATCCCAGTAGCTCAGTTATGTAAAACTGGGAACCAAGTGATTACAGAATCTGTGTTTACCATCTTGCAACTTTAGCCTCTATTGGATTATAAATCTTAATTGTGATTGTGAATGGGAAAGATAATAATTCTGTCAGAAAAAATGTAAGAGTCCCTGAATTTGAAGCTGAAAATATCAGTTGAACTCTTCATGCTTATGGGCCAGCAGGGGAGAAAAAACACATCATTAACAGTAATAGCCCTGACTCTCCTGAAGAACTGGAGTTGCTGTTCCCAGTGAAGATAAGAAGAAGCACATCCGGAACCCAAGGATTTCACGGGGCATCTCTTGGGGCTCCCAGGTCCAACGATAACAGATTTATACATAGTTGTATTGTACCTACATAATTGTATGGTCAAAAGTTGGTGCATAGTTGTATTGCAACAACTGTGGCCCAACAAGGATAAGGCAAATAAAGGTTCAGACCCCTCAAGGATGAAGGTCTGTGTCATCACACCAGGACACCAAAACAGATAGCTAATGTGCTGGCCCCTGGTGCGGGAAATACAGAATTGCTGGAAGAGATTGGAGATAAATATTAATTATGACTTCAGATCCAGGTCCAGCTGTGGAACAGAAGCTTTTCTTACTTATCCTTAACTAGACTCTGGTGAAACATCCCCTTGAAGGAGACCTTGTGACAGATTGAACTAGTGCTTCCCTTCTTGTAGAGTAGATAAGGACAACTTACTCTCACAGAAATGGGGACCTCTATTGTAGTATGCAATTTGGATATAATGATGGAGGAAAGTGCCTTGAATAATGCAGGAGGTGGACTGTATTATGCACCTTTTATATACTAGTTTATAGGCTTTGGCTCACTGATTTCATTCAAGCTGCCACTGAGATCTCTTGCTTTTAGGGTATATTCTGATTGCTTGCATGCAAGAGCAACCTGACATTATTGCAACTTCTCAACTCCTTCCACGGGGCGATCCTGATGATACTTATGTAAGACCCTTATTGCACTCAAATATGTGTAATATGGACGTGCAGGGAGGTTCATACTCTGTGAGACAAACCTTTGACCAATTGGAGGCTGCAGCCAATGGTTAAATTCTTCACTTTCTTTTCTCCATGATGAAATTATACAACTTCTCAGAAGGTGGTCCTATGGGATTGAGCAATCGGTCAAACCTAGGAGCAGTTAGGCCTATACTGCATCCTTATATTACTCTCCCTCTTTCTCTATTCCATTCCCTTTTTCGTCACTCCTGCTCCCTGGGATTGTACAATCTAATTCGGGCTGGGATATTATCCCACCTTCCAATCTGATCCACTTGTGGCCCTCTAGTGATTCCACTGCCACAGTGAGCATTCCCTCCCATTGCACCATAACTGAAATGTGGCATCTTCTGGGGACACAACTTTCCCTGCAGCCTGCTCAAATGAAGACTCCTGGCTCACCAATACTGTCCCCAGACCATTCTTCTTCCTTGCTCCTTTGAAATGTACATCATCCAACTAAAATACCTTTTTGTCCTTCTAAATATCTTTTGTATCTGTCCATTTCTTACCACCCCAGATGCTACCTACCTAGTTCAGGCCTCCACTGAATCTTGCATGTTTGTTTCAACAGATCTCTGTTCCCAGCATCAAATAGCTCTCTACTTCTTATTTTGCCTCCTTCCACCTAGCTTGGACACTGAGTCAAAAGTAATCTTCCCAAAGCATAAATTGGATCATGTCATTCACCTACTTAAAACTTTTTCGTGGCTGCTTATTGACATTAACATAAAAGTCTAAGTTATTTATCCCAGTCGAGAGACTCTGTAAGATTTAACTTGTTTCTTTTCAGCCTTTATCTTCTGTCACTTCCTCCCTCACTGTCAGCTTCAATAACACTGAACTACTTTCACTTTCCTAAAATGGAGCCTGTCCTTCACATGTCCTGACCCTGAAACAACCTCCCACACTTGATTAATGCCCACTCAGCTTTTTAGGTCTCAGAGACAAGTGTCCTGGGATATTTTCCTGGACCTTTCCAAGATTGAGCTAGTAGTGAACACCTTATCCAGCCTTCTTACTTAACTCTTACTTCAGCACTCACTACTTTGAAATTTTTGTCCCTGGATCCTCTGTCAGACTTAAGGCTTCCCAATTGTCCTAGCATCTAGTAAAAATTAAGCATTTGACAAAAATTCATTGCAAGAATGTCTAGATGAATTGGTTTTCTTTTCTTCCTATTAACTTGTTCACCATTGTTTATAATATTATTAAAAAGATGAGTGTACATTTTTTCTCATGTATTTTTCCAACCTACTTACAAAGTAAAATGAAATGGCACATGAACAGCATGAAATTGACTGGGAACTCTCTCAGGCACAGATTACATCATTGGACTAAAACTCATATAGTCAGCGTTTAGGAAAAATAGATTAAATTCCATACATATATTCCCAATCATTTATTATATTCATAATCCTTTTACATTTTTGTATTTTTGAAATCCTGTGTCATATTTTTATCACAATACTACATCACAAAGCTGAACACACCTCCTCTTGAACATTTGTCACTAGTGGCCTTGAATCTTATGTGATATCATAATAATTAGAATTTCTACTTCATAATGACTGATAGAGAAAAGCAATCTCAGCTGTAAAAACAGAGTCCTGGGGGAATATTGATAGCCTTTTTCCCAATATAAATAAAGCAAATAAAGCAAAATCCATTTGCAATAATAGGTGTGTATGCAAAGACCTCCTGAAATTGCAGGAGCAAAACTCTTTCTGCATCTCGACTTCTTAAGATCCGTTCCTCAACAATGATCAGTTGGATTTTACTGTAAGAAGGAAGAAAACAAGGAGCCTGCTGGAACAACATGGAAACAGGCTATATGTATGGTGGTTATGGCCACAGACATTTGGTTCAAATTCTTGCTCTGCTTTTAGCCTCTCTAGCTTTCAGTCTCTTTGAGTGCAATGGGGAAAATAACATCTACTTTGTAACATTGTAGGGAAATCAAGTAAAATTTCATATGTGGAGTTCTCAGCACATAGTATCCTCTCAACACATCCAGGGCAGCTATCACTGATGAGTTCCCAGAAACCTGGAACAATAAGGAAATCTATTAAAAGAGCCGTAGGAACCAGCATCTTCAGGGAGGGCTGGGGGTCAAGGAGCCAGAGGGAGGTGAGAGAGGATGAAGAAAGAGTGACCATTTTCTCTAAAGTAGTTTTTCATTAAAATTTAGCAGCTTCCAATCTGGGATTCAGAACTCTAGGCAATGACCTAGTAGTCAGTAAGGCAGGAATAAATTGTGATAACATTATTATGGAAAACATTTTCAGCAAACTGCAGGGGAGAGATAGCAGGAAGATCCATGGCTAATGCACTGCTTTTAAAGGACTTTCATAACTCACTGGACACACAGGGATGTTTTGTGCTTTTCCTAGTCATAAGCAGACAATAAGCACAGTGACTTACTTGTCAGGCAGAAAACTTGATTAGTTTCTTTTAAGCAGTAAGCAGAATCATAGGAAATCATTTCCTTAATGCAAGCCTGGAAGAAATGAGAGGTTCATTTGTCATGAATTCATTTCAGCATTCACATGGTAAAAAAAATTACTGCCACACATGGAATGAACCAAGTGGGCTTTAGAACTCTTTCTGAAATAAAACATTGCAAAAAACCATACCCATAAATATATTAATCTGTATTTCTTATGTTCACATTTTAAGGTTGAAAAAATCAATATAACATTAGTACTTTATCTCCCTCAAAACACTTTTTAACCAATATTTCATTTGCACTGAATAACAGATACCATTAGGTTGGCAGGGGAAATATCCTCCTGCTAAAGATGAGGACACAGACTTTGAGGGGTTATCTCACTTGTTAAAGATCACATAGCCTGTAAATGAAAGAACAAAACCTCAACCAAACCTCATGCCTCCAAATCAAGAGGAGGCCCCATTGGAACACACTGATGCTGCTGTCAGATGTGTTTTGTCTCATATATTTTGATGTTTACACAGGCCATTTTTAGCATACATGTTAGCAGTCAATGCCATAGGAAATGAACTTAGACCAGGGCAGGTGTTTAAACATCTTATGGATATTTCCCTGATCAGGCCCATGAATAGAGTGTAAATATAGATGAGAAACTGACTTCCTGTTTGTTTCTCTGGTCCCACTCTTTACCTTTCTCCCACTGTGCCCTGGGAAGCTTACCTTAGGACCTACAACAAAGAGATTTCTCACTGGCTTCCTTGGGGTTCATTCAATATGGTATTATTGCAGTAAGTTGGAGGGAGGGAGGAGAAGCAGGTGTGGATTTTTGTTTCTTTCCTTAGTTCTCATTTTAATGCCTGGGCATAGGCTGGTTGTGCCTGGGGGACATCTGCAGACAAACTTCCGTGCTTCCAGGTTTTGTAATGACTCCTTCTACTTGCCCTCTCAGAGCCAGAGGCCTCAGGGTGCTGAGATGTTCTTATCCCCAGTTCCCACACCATCCTTGTGGCTTCCCTGTACCCTGCCCATCCTTTATAAATATCTCTTTACCAAATTTTCCTCAGAATACCTGAATTTGAGTCGTATTTCCATTGCCTGCCAGGATCCTTCCTGACATTACCTTCCTGAATGAATATTTTGAAGGAGTCTATTCTCTATGCAAAGAAGCCCAATTTCTCACCATGTATAAAAGGAAATAAACATCATTTTCAATAGAAAATAATGCAGGGTATATGCCTGGTGTCACAGCTGTGTTTGGACCACAGAGCCTAGAAAGATGTAGTCATAGAAATAGACTCTTTTCTCTCTTTTTTTTTGGTAACAGCATCCTGATTTTCCCTTGAGAAACCATCCTCTCTTCTTCTTATAGTCTCTGACATTATGATAGGACCAACCCTACTCTCCAGGGACAGGCGTGGGGCTCCACCCTGGCTTATGAAAGAGCTATACACTCCTAACCACAGTGATAGGTGTAGGAGATCAGTCAGGATGCTGGGAAAAATTATAAGAAAGACTCAAACCTTCTTGGAAGGCTAGACGGTTTTACAAAAGCCTCAGAAGAGAATTATGGCTGAAGGCAGCCTAATCCTCTTAACTTGAGCTAATAGCAAAGAGCAGATAACAAGGGAATGTAAAGGAGTTTATCTAAATAGCTTGTTTACTCATGTGGTCCTAAGACCAAACTTTAATCATCCACATGCAGGACTGCTCTCTACATGGGGGGGGGGGGGTTTGACAATGTCTATTATCCACTAATGATGTTTGCTCAAGACTTTTGTCTTAAATCTATTCTAAAATAAATATGAGCCTCTCTAATATATGGGGGCTTCATAGCTGGACTCCCACTTAGGGATCTGTGAGCCATGGAGTCCCCTGGCCACGCTCATATGGGCAAAACATCTGTGTCTACATACTTTTGTCATTGATTGCTCAGGCAGAGTCTGCCATTCAGACTCAGCAGCCAGTTTAAAGATGGGAAGGAACAACAGCAGGGGAACCTTGACTTTTTCCAGAGGTATCAAGAAAGAGACCCTCTTCCCACTGGATTTTCTAATCCGTGGAACCTAGGCCTGGAGATGCTGTTAACCATCTTTGACGTAATATAAAAGCCAAAATAAAATATCAAAAGGTGGAACTGAGAGATGGTGAAAATGTCCTCCTGATCACATAGGTTGAGCATTTGCATTTGGCCATACCTGAAAGTGTCTCTGCACTTTTCTCCCCTGGACCAATAATCTTTTTTCTCTTAGGGTGATCTGTTTTCACCTTTATACAGAAAAGTCTACAGTAAAGAGAAAAATCCTGAACTAGGAGACTTGAAACTCATTCCAGTCTCTGTTATTTAGAAGTTGTATGACCTTTGGCAAATTATTTTGCCTCTCTGGGCTTAGATCTCTCCCCTATAAAATAAGGATTTTGTGCTGGATGTTCTTCAAATGCCTTTGTAGAGCTGAACATGGAGACAGATCAACAGTAACCAATCTTCCAGGTCAGCTAGAACTCAGAGAAAAGTTATGCCTCCAAGTGAGCTCATTCTCTGTTATCAGCACATTGACCACAGCATTGCTGTCCATCCAATAAAGGACAGACATTGTTACAAATAATGACCCTATCCAGCCCTGGTCAGCCCTACTGTTAACTCCCAGGAGAGCTCATCGCATCTTCCCACTTCAATCCACTTAACCAAATATACTATGTAATTTTGATGATATGTCTCTTAAAATTTAATCATCACACCAAATGGCCAAAGAAATATTCAATGTCTACCAGAAGTAAAATGTGGTGCTAGGTATTGTGATTATTAGCATTCCACCTTTATGTTGATCCTCCTTGGAAGGGACCCAAAAAAACCCTTCTAAACCCTCCAAGTTTCTGCCACATAATACCTTCCTTCATGCACTGTGGCTTTTTGATACTTTCCTCTGACACGCATTAGATGAAAATTTATCTGATGAAATTTATTTTCATCAAAGGATGCCAGAAAAACAAATGAGTTTTAAAGTAAAGATGAAGGAAAATTTTGAAAAGTACTTAATTTCCTCATTATTCATCCATTCATTGTTCCACTAGCCAATGACCAAGGCATTGTTTGTGGACTGTTCACAGTAGCTCTATTTTCTGCTATTGTTTTTTAGTCAATGAAAATTAGGTAATAGCACAATCCTGCATGATTTGCCAAGCATTTGTTGAGTTGAAAGGTCACATATTTGCACACAACATTTAGATGTGGGAAAGAAACTATCGTCCTTTTGCCCTGAAAACCTCATTCCCACCATTGGTGGGGGAAAAAACCTAAATTAGTGCATAGAAGACATTTCATTGTCTGATGGCTTAAATAGTCTTTTAAAGACTTGTTTAATATCTTCTGGATAGAGGCTCAATCAAGTTTAAGGTCCACGCCGCTTTTAGTACTGTTTCTGGTCTTGGAGATACACTTACTAGTTGTCACTTTCCACAAGAGGCATCTTTCACAAGATATAGTCTTTCATGAGATGGCAACTGGATGGAGAGGAAAGCTTACCTGTCCTCTTTGCTATGAGGATGTCCACCTGCTGCTCCTTGTATTGTCTTCTGGTCCCCTCTGGCCTTGGAGAAAGATGTCCAGTCTATCCATTAGGCATCCCCCTGACAGAAGCTGCTGAGGCCACAGCCAGGGTAATTGGTGATCTGGTGGCCTGCTGGGGGTCTACTGTGTCCCTTCCTGTTATACTCCCTTACCTTGGTTCTTGCTAGAGCAGCAGCTCCCCATGGTCTCAGCTGCCTCCTCCATCTGCCCTGGGCCTTGGTTGTCCACCCAGCAGCCTCTGCCATGAGGTCAAGTTTCCCTCCCACAGGGATCATGGGAGGCCCAGTGGCCCTCATTTCTCTTCCTTACTCATTTTACTCTGGGAGCAAGTGACAATGTTTGGTTATCTTCCCTATCCTACTGGAGAGGACCTATTCCCAGTTATCTTTTCTTCTTAAGTATCACCACCATGGTATACTACATGTCAATATTTGTTCTGTTGCAATTTTACTGATGCAGGGGTTCCCTAAAAGGTGATCTCCTTCCTGAACCCCAAACAAGGCATGAGTCCTCTTTGCCCCTCTGCTTCTGGGTTTCCTTGCTGATCTCTCTTGATATGAATCCAGGAACATGTCTTATCTCTTTCTCTTGTTTTCTGTACCTCATGGCTTCTTCATAGAATTGGAAGGTATATCTACTTCATCTTACTATTGTTAAAAGAAAAACTTTGGCAGAATTAAATTTAAGAGAGTTTAATTGAGCAGAGAATAATTTGCAAATTGAGCAGCCTCCCGAGCAGAGTAGGCTCAGAGACTTCAGAGCAGCCACATGGTGGAAGATTTATGGATAGAAAAAGGAAAGTAACATATAGAAAATGAATGTGAGGTACAGAAACAACCAGATTGGTAGCCACTTGATGTTTGCATCATTTGAACACACTTTGAACAGTTGGTTACCTTTGATTGGCCAAGACTCAGTGATGGCACGAGAGTAGATTACAGTCTGTGTACAACTCCATTTATGTTATAGTTCATGATGTACACAGAAACCTTTAGGCTGAACTTAAAATATGTAGGGAAGCAGCTTTAAGCTAAACTTGATGTATCACTGTCCAGTAGAGCATTCACCATGTAATATCTTCCTTCATGCATTGTGGTTTTTTGATACTTTCCTCCTTTTTCCTGGGTAATAAATTGGGCTTCAATGATGGAAAGGCTTTGGGAGAACAATCACTTATATGGGAATGGAAAATGTAACAATTTAATATCTTCTAAGTAGGATTCCTGTCACATCTAGAATATGTAAAACTCTGCTAGTTTTTAGGAAGGGAGCTGAGGATAGGCTAAGAGGGGACCAAGATGTGAATTAAACATGATTCCTGTTCTTAAATAGCTTTTAGCTTGAAGGAAGAGATGGACATGAATACCATTGGCCAAGGCATGGCATAGGAACCAAATGTGGCCTGTACCACTGGGTTATGAGATCAGACAGGGGTAAGGATCACATAGATCCCTTAAAAAGCTGACTGCCCCAGCACTTTGGGAGGTTGAAATGGGTGGATCACCTGAGGTCAGGAGTTTGAGATCAGCCTGGCCAGCATGGTGAAACCGTGTCTCTATAAAGACTACCAAAAATTAGCTGGGCGTAGTGGCGGGTGCCTGTAATCCCAGCTACTGAGGAGGCTGAGACAGGAGAATTGCTTGAACCCAGGGGATGGAGGTTGCAGTGAGCCAGGATCATGCCATTGCACTCCAGCCTGGGCAACAAGAGCAAAACTCCGTCTAAAAACAAACAAACAAACAAACTAAAAACCAAACAACTGTCTGCTTTCAGTTTTTCAGTTTGCTTCTTCTCAATTCTGCAGGTTAGAGACCACAGCCAGAAACCTGATTAGTGGTCATCTTTGGGCTTAGACCTTGGCTTGAGGATTTCTGTCTCAGCAAACATCAGGTTGGGACTGAACTTGGGGGCGGGAGAGACCCATCTCTTCACTGGGTAGGACTGTACTTTTTCCTGGTAGATGACAATTAATAGGAGGTGCCCAGAAAGAGCTGCACTCTATTTGAGAGCAGTAGTTCTCAAAGTGTGTCCCACCCGCATAGGTGTTATCAGGGAACTTGTCAAAACACAAATTCTGAGGCCCACCCCAGGCCTGCTGAATCAGAATCTCTGGGGATGAGGCCCAGCACTATTTTAACCAGCTCTCCAGGTGATTCTCATCCACACTAAAGTTTGAGAACCTCTTCTCTAGACTCTAAAATTATGTAACTTTAGAGTTACATAATTCTAAAGTTACTGGCACCCAGGGCCCAGCAGCACTGGCGTTACCTGGGAATTTTTTAGAAATGTAGAATCTCAGGCCCCACTTCAGATGTATTGAATAAGAATCTTTTAAACTAAAATTCCTAGTTAATTCTTATAAACATTAAAGTTTGAGAATCATTGTCCTAGGTGATTTGACCTATATTCAACCTGGATTATAGATGATAGGTGGACAGTATCATTTTTTTTTAAAGGTATGTTTTCTTCTGTCTGTTCCAGGGAGGCCCCCTCCTGTCAAAGCTGGGGCATCTGAGAGACAGTGGTCACACTACAACTCAGCTGCACGCACACCAAAAAAAGTAGCTTATTTTCTTTTACTGTTTATTTTTCCTTCTGGTTTACCAACCTACTGGGTATCAGGGTGAAAAACATTATTTTACTTGCAAATTAATTATATTACCACGTTTTCTTGCTTAAACTGTCTTTTTAGGTTAACTCTGATACTTTGGGATAAATGTTCAGTCTTTCGGATATACTCCACTTACCCTAGCTCCTCCCATGATGGTTCTGGGGTGGGAGAGGTTTACATGACCTTGCAGTAGCAGGGCAGAGGACAGGGTTATGCTGCTCATGGGGCATTCTGTACAAATTAGATGTGTCTTCCTTATGATACCTTCCTTCCAGGTGTTGGAAAGTTGTCATGCTGATTTTATTAGAACAAGCGCCTTGTTGCCAGATGTTTTAAAACTGACATAATAAATGTGCAAATTTTCAATATCTGTTAAATGAATGGTGCCCTCTTAGACATGGATTTCTTGTGCAATACTCAACCTGTGCAACTATATGCCTGTCTCTGTTTTTGTACCACAGTAAGGTGCATGCATGAGGCTGAATATGGGGTTTTCCCCAGAGGCTTGCAGCGGTCTTCACGAAAGGCGGACTATTGGCACTGACTATTCTGGCCACTCTGGAAATTCTATTGCTCTCAGGCCACGAGGATCAACATTTGTCCATGACTTCCTCACTTTAACTCTTCCTTGCCTCCTCCTCTTAGGCCACTGGGGTCAGGAGCCCAGGCTTTTTCATTTCCCTGAAAAACAGAAGCTTTGTTTACACCATGACTGGTTCTCACTACCCCCTGACATACAGAAAACTCCAAGTTTAAGTCAGCCAGGCTGCTTCTTGATATGAGATGGGAGCTTAAGGCATTTAAAAAATTCTTTTACTTTCCCATAATGTCTGGCTTTTGAGACTCCACTGACTAGTGCCTCACAAACAACGCCGACTTGCTTTTTCTAGCTAAAATTCACCCTTTTCCTGAGGCATGAAACACACTGTTTCAGTGTGTAGGTCCCCCAGGGCAGCAGTGTTTTCTGGATTTGAAAATTTAACAGAAAAGCTCTCACAAACATTGTATTATTTTACCTGTCTCTTGTGGGACTTTATTGAAGGCAACAAGAAGCAGCCAAAACCCACCAACATTTTGAACTTTTCCTAACAATTTCTTGGTTTCAGACTTTTAGTGGACATTATCTGAGTCTCGGGATGCAGCAGGCGTGGTTTAACCAGCAATTTTGCTGCCACTTAACATGGGCTGCTAACAAGCTAGTTCCATCTTCATTGCCCTCTCCACTGTAGCTCTTCAGCTCTGCCTATTCGACAGTTTCGAGTCTGTAACATCACCCTCACTTCCACATTCGAAATTCCATTGGGATCCTTTAGGATTCAAGGAACAAAAATACCAAATTTATACTAAAATAATAAGGAAGCATATTTGGTTCATGTAACTGCAGTGTTTGAGACTCTCAGCATCTTTAGGATGCACCTCCAGTGTTGTGTGATTCCCTGAGTTCTTCTTTCTCCCACGCATTGGCTATTTTATGTTAACAAAATGGCCACAGAGATTCCAGGCATCTCATTCACATACCACAACATCCAGATTAAAAGAAAGGGCCTTTGTCCCAGAATCTAAGCAGGTTCAGTCACATGCCTACCACTGAACTAATCATTGCGGCTTTGATTGACTTATTTAGGTACTACGTGCTCCATTCCTAAAGCCAAGAACCACATAGGTCTGAAAGTCAGGCATTCCTAAAAAGAGGCAGCTCTGAAGTGTCAGCTGAAACATTATGAGATCTATCCATTTAGAATGGAGACTTTATTTCTCATAAAGGGTTACAGCCTGCAAGGTGGTCATTTTCATAGGCTGGGAAACATAGCCTCTGGTAGTAGCCAAAGGGCAGGCACTTCGAGGGAGGGGAGGATGAAACAAGGATTTATGCTGAACAGTTGGCCAAGTATACATATTTAACAGTTTATAAGAGTAGCTATGAATATTCATGAAGGGTGTCCTAATGCATGTGTACTAATAAACACACATGTTGCATGTTCACTTTGGGGTGGACACTTAATGTATAAATGCATCACAATTAGGCCTTGTATGTCAAAAGGTGAATCAGGGACACAGAGGCACTCAAGTATGCAGCCTCCGCAAATCAGCCAGAACCAGCCCATGGTTGGTGGTCTTTTATCAGGAGAAAGTTACCAAAACACCCTCTTATCTCATCAGAGCTGTAGAGATGGCTTGTGGAACAGAGGGGTCAATCAGGCTGCATCTGGCGACTGGTGAGCTGTAATTGTTTAAATATTTCTTATCTGGAGGCCAGTGATTATTTAGCTGCTAGAGAAAAAGAAAAACCTTGTGGCAGGTAGAATGTAGTTTATTCTTTATGTACAGGAGGTACGTGACTTAACTATGCTTGGCGTGGCCTTAGGTCTTGTTTATAATTTAGTATCTTATTGCCATAAAGAGTGCATTCTGTCAGTCTTATGATCTCCATTTTAACATTAATACTGGTCAATTCTGTCTAAATTGTAAAAGGGAGTGGGTACAATGAGGTGTGTACAAGATCCCATCCTATCACGGCTAGGAGCTCAGTTTTTAAAGTTTCTCTGGGGTCCTCATGGCCAAGAGGGGTCTTTTCAGTTAGTTGGGGGGCTTAGAATTTTAGGATTTTATTTTTAGTTCTCAGGAGGATACACA